GCCGCCGTGTTCGTCAGGCTCTCGGAGCTGGGTGCGATCCCAGCTCTGCAGGTGCGGTTTGGGCTTTCTGCCCTCCCAGTCGGGGCACTCGCCCCCACCGACCTCACACGGCCCCCGCTCGGGGCAGAGGGATGTGGAAGGCGGCGGGGTGCAGCCAGCTCTCCGGTGACCAGCTGGTGCCCGGGGTGGTGGTGCCGGTTCAGGAGGTGCCTGTGCACGCAGACCCCGCAGCGAGTTTTCTGAAGCCGCACGAAGAGTTTTACACCTGTTCAGCCGAACCCCGGGAAGAGCAGATAAAACTGGTGGGTGAACGTGCGTAAAGCCCGTCCCTCGAAATGCGACCGTGTCCACGCGTGTCCATGAGTATGGCGGTCACTGTGACAAGTGCGATGGTGCTGAGTGCTGTAGTAGTAATACTGCTGCTTCGCTAGCCTAAATGCAGTTGTTCCCCCAGTTTCTTCTAACAGCACGCAGGCTGTGATCAGCACTTGCTACTTGAAGAGTGGTTTTTAGTTTAGATTACAACATCTAAAGGGTAGTTTCTTGCTCTTTTCTTTTTGTCCTTTAATCAGAATGAATTTGGTCAGCTTGTGATTTTTTGATATTTGTGGGGAAATACCTCTCGATAGTTAAAGTACACCTCTGTCTTACAGATCGGGTCGCTCAAAAACCACTACCTGTTCAGACATAAAAGCCATCCACGACGGTCTCGAAGAAGCGCGATTCATATCACTAAAAGACTTTCTGATGATGAGCGGGTGAGTGTTGCATTTGCTCTTTTTCATGCTCTCTGTTTATTCTGTTTCCTTATTGCTAGCTTTGTAATGAGGTCACAGGCAGGCTTTCCTTGTTTTGCAAGTCTAATATATTCAGCCATCCATACTCATGCTGAATAATACTTTATTATTCTGTCATTAACAGGCAGAATCTGACCCTCTCTTACCATATTTTTTTGCAAGTGCTTTCCAAATTAAGATTTAAGATATGCAGCATTGCAGAGGCTTGGAATTACAGTGTGTCGCTGATGAAAATATGAACGAGTAACCGCAGGGCTCAATTCAAAGTGAAAATCCAGAGGTGCACTTAGTTTAATCAGGCCACGTCTGTGCAATTACCACGGGAATTAGGTTTGATTTAAAGTGACTGAATATTAAAAAAAAGTAGGGGAAAAAGGCTGAGGTTGTGCTGGATTCGCTTCTATGACAAGCTAAAACCCCTTCTCAAAGGATCCATCACACGCTGTCTGATTGCAGTCTTTTGGTACACTGGGATCCCACTGCAATCAGAGAGCAGGCACACTGGGGAGCCAGGGGTCTAAGGTACGATGTACTGCCGAAGCAGGCTCCCCATTTATTTGGCTTTATTTGAGAGAGAAACACGTCTGTTTGTAAACATACTGAGAAAATGGGGTGGGTGGTGAATTTAAGGAACAGACTAGAATCCTGTCAGCCTGTCTTAAAAACGATTTCTGGCAAATTTCAGAACAACGAAATTTGAATTTCAAATCAGCATTGTTGCAGCAATCACTGTAAAAATATGAGCAGTCCAAAACATGAAGTAACCTAGTTGTGAAAAACAGCAATTTAACAGATAAGGACAAATCATTTGAGAACGAGTAATTGGTTATCTGGAGGTTTTAGATGCAGCTGTCATCTAGGAGGAAGTGTTCTATGTGTAGCTAGAAGAATTAAAGGAAGGGGTGAGACGGTATTTGCTTTCCCTGTTCTGTTTTAAAACTGTACGCTCCAATCTGTCTCCTTGCAAACGTTGTTTTCTTCTAGGTGAAATCATTTTAAACCGGGGATGTTCCAAACCACAGTTTTAGTGTAAATTAGTGTTCTAATTCATACCCATACCAACGATCAAATGTTCAATGCCACCATAGTACAATGTTCAGGAACAGAGCCTTGGTTGCAGTTCCTCCCTTTTTTGGACTTATTACATCAGATGCATCTCTTGCACAGGGAAGCATGACCATGTTTAATATATCAAATTCTAATGTCGGAACCAGAATGGAAACAATTGTGTTACACACATTAGTGCCAAGCATTAATGCAGACTTAGATACGTAGATCCAAAAGCAGAGCTTCAAAGTCGTGTACAATTTCCCTTTTATTTACCATCTAGTATGCAAATTGACTATGTGAATGAATGAGATGTAATTATGTCATTATGTAAGTATATAAACACAAAGCAATCATGTAATGCTGTTTAGTTATACATGGACCTTTGCTCCAAAGAGCTAAAGAGAGTTCAGCAATAGCCTATTTAAAAAGATTTAAATTCAGTCTTGAAAAAGGGAGCGAGAAGGGAATCCTGCTTTTGTTTGTCTAGTGCCTTCATGAATTTTACGGTATGTTAAGTGTGAAAGCTGGGGTAAAACTTGGCTCTAATCTGAATATTTATCTGCTTCCTATAGATGCCCCAGTGAATATATCAAAGGGTTACAATTCTCTGGTTCCCTAACTTCTTCCAGTATTTGCACTAGTTTCTAAATCTACTTTCTTGCAAGAGACCTGAACCACAATAATTTTCTCTGCTTTATGTATCAGTGACTGGAGATTTGGCACAGGGCCTTCAGCTTTTGCTGTAGATGGATGGCTGGAGCCTCACCCAGCTGCTGAGTGACAAACATTTGGCTTGTTTGTCTGACATATGTGCTTGGTAGTTTCAGCTCATTTCCCTCAGTGCAGTTGTCCACATCGAAAAAAATAACGAGCATGGAAGTTGTCAATTGCTAATTACTGCTGGGTGATGAAGAGCCCAAGCTTTGCTGTGAGCAGGGAAGAGAGCTAAAGGTAATTGCTCCGACCTGTGCACAAGTATGTATGGCTCTGGATATCAATAGGGCAGTTTAAAATACTTAACGCTTGCGTGAGTATATTCATCTTCTGCGACTATCTACAGTTTGTGGGGGTTTTAGCACTAAATATATAGCAAAGGGAATAGTACTAGAGAGCTTTCAGTAAACCTGCCTGGTGTAGCTACCATTTCTAAGGGTTTATGTTCTTGTAGTGAATTTTCATTAGGCTCTCACTAGGAAATAGTATTTTAATCAAATCAGTAGTTTTTTATCATTATAATTTCTGAGTCACTCTTACCATTGGTTCATATATGGTGATAGATGTAAGGACCGTAAAACCATTGGATCACCGCAGAGAAAAATAATGAAATCTGTTCAGACATTTAAAGCAAAATGTTAGGTCCAAGGCGTCCTCCACTTGAGGCTTATAGCAGGAGCTGGGCAATCTACTGAACCCGAGTTTGCTTTGCTCGCTTGGAAAATGGGATGAAAAGCACCAACTTGATCTGTGTCAGAATGACCATCCAGGTCCTAGCAATAAATAACATTTTATTCCCACTCCCAGAAGGAGCACACAGCACGGACAGAGGTATCAGAATCAGGATTTGATTTGAACTGGGTTTAGTAATGCATTCAAGGGAGCTAAGTGGGGTACACTTTTAAAATGCAACCTAGTGACCTGAGAGATTGCTGTGTCCGTGCACAAATGCTATGCAACTCAGCGTATCAATGCTTAAGTAAAACACGCTGAAGCATTTTTGGCTTTCAGTCGCCTTAAGTGGAATTATGCCAGTGATGAAGTTAGTCCAATATTCATAGCTTACTAATTGATCACATTTCAAAACACCACTGGGAAGGAGATTTGAAGGTCCAGCTGGGCTATGAGTAACAGCATCATTATGATTGCTAGACTAAAGCCAGAGATAATCTTTCTCCTTTCCTTTTAGCTCCCAATAGAAATAGATGAGGATTAAAATCTAAGTAGGAGAAAGAAGCAGGCTGTGGTTTTGCTTGTTTCAGTAACCACCACTGCTTAGATAACCTTCTAACCATAGTGCACATTTGATAATAAAAGCCTGCATTGTGTGGCACTCACTGTTAACTTGTACTTAATGGTTTTCTATGAATTGATTCTATAGTATCGTGATTTCACTAAGTCCTCTTCCCCAGAGAACAGTGTACTACAGCATAAATAATCCTCCTCTCTGCATCAAGCACTGCTCATTTTGCTTTAGACATCAAAATTGTGCTGTTTGAGGAAACCCCTTACTCTCTAGCCTAAGAAGCTCCTAACCTATAGAGGCTTACTTGTCATATTTATACAAATAATTGTAGGTGTCGTGGGCGGAGCAGCAATATGAAAAAAAGCGAACTAAGCGTGCCACCGTGAGAGACTCAGCAGAAAATCTTTTCAATGATCCTATGTGGAATCAGCAGTGGTATCTGGTAAGAATTTGTTTCATTGTGTGACTGGGGGGTAGTGAATTTCAGTTGTGCCACCAGCTGTATTATTTCACTTGTATCAGAGTGATTGCACTGAAGGGAATAAATCAGAGTCCGTCACATTAACGTATGGTATAAAAATAAGAGATCTCTGCGATAATACTTCCAGACAGCCTTCTGTTTTCTTTGAAGTGTCATTTGTGCAAAGAGTCTAAAAGTCAATTCAGGTGGCTCCTTTGGATGGAGGTTGATACTAGAAAGCAGTGTAACAGTTAAAAGCTATCTTTAAGATAATTTAAAAATATTTGCTCTTGGCATGTAAGAAGTCCCTTATTGTGTCTGAAGCTGGCCATGTATTTCTGTATAAAAATCGGTCATTTTCCAGACGAAAACAAAAGCATCTGTGTGCATGTGACAAGCGCCTTCAGCCTCTTGGGCTAGGATTTAAATAGAGGAGGGTCTCTACAGCTCACTTGTTCAAAACCTCAAGGAAAAGGAATTTCTTGAGCTCTGTAGTTTCTGTCTGCACGTGACAACTCAGAAATACAGTTGATAATTTATGTTTTATATGATTTCTTTCGAGAGTCTGTATTTCCACTACGCATCTAGCTATAACTTCAGTCTAGGCTTCGTAGCTTTCACTCAGAATAGGAATGGGATTAAAGGTGGGTATAACAATTTAAGAAGAAAGGCCAAGAACAAATGTGGCCTAAGTGGCTGGAAATACCTTTCTGTTCTTCAGCTCATCTTAGAGAAAACAGACCAAACTCTAGACTGTTTGTATAATGCTTTGTCCTCTTTTTTCTTTGTTTGAGCTGGGAAAAATAAATTATAAACCACGTAGCATAACATTTCCATGAAGATTCCTGCAGACTTCTTTTCAACATAAAAATGGTTATCTTTAAGAAAGAATTTAACTTTTCTTTGAAGCTGAATATCTGCTTCTTTGCCTGTTTCCAGTAGGAAGCAGAAAGTTTTCCCTCTGGCTTTCCCACATGAGAAGCAGAAACATGATGCTTACCTTTGTTTGCAGTGCACATTGATTTTTTTCCTGTTTAAATGCATAAATGTGTTAAATATTTTCTTCTAAAATATGTTCCTTGCCTTGTAGTAAATAACTTATTATTACCTTATTATTATGATTTGATGGCAACAGTTTTTAGCTCTATTCAGTGTACCTTCATGCATCAACAGAAAAAATGATTATTTGATGGATTCTAGAGAACAAAACTTGAAACCTCAAATAATTCCCTGAACAGCAACAGTTAGAAAAGAAAGCATAAAATGAAAGAAAGGTCATTCGCATAACAAATTTCTTTTTCTAAGCCTCATTTTGTATGCAATGTTCCTTTGGAAACAAAGAAATGAAAAACCTGCGATCAACTAATGTGATTATGCATAGAGAAACAGAAAGAAAATGCTTTTTTTACACCTGTGTTTTTATGGGAGTTGTAAGCAAGTTTCCTAAATAAGAGGTATGTACTGCACATTTAATATTAGAGAAGAAAGATGACCCATTTAGGAGCTAGTCTTCAGAGAACTTGCTGTGGAAGAAAAGGCTATAGATGATTCATGCTTCCAGTTGATTTACCACAGGAACAGTAATGAGGGTAGTAAACAGAAAGTTGTGATTCAGCACAGTTGTTCCTAACCAAATGACTACCTTAATTGTTTTATCCATTCATTATTTTGCTCTGGCTAACTTGAATGTCAAAGGAGAAGACACGTACGGAGAAAACACAGCTCACTGTACTGTGGGGTACTGTCTTGGCTTCTCATCAAGTGGAAAGAACAAACATTAGCAGGTCTGATTATTAACTCAATGTTCCAAGGGTCATTGGTGCTTCCCTACCATCCCCATGTTTCTGCTGCCTGCCTCCAATAAATACAAGATGCTCTTTGTTCAGAGGTGGCCTTCAGGGATCTTCAAGTAATGGGGTAAATCTTTCAGTTCTGCAAGTATTTGAAGAAACTATGTTTTGTTTTGTCTTTGCAAAATTTGAGCAAAATATACAAGTTCAGGCTTGGAAGATTTAGAGCATGTTTGAAATACAGCTTTGAATCTGTGTAGTGTAAATGGATTAAAATGTTGACATATTTTAATCCTTTCTGTCCTCCAGCAAGACACAAGAATAACTCCATCCCTGCCCAAACTGGATCTCCATGTTATTCCTGTATGGCAAAAAGGGATTACAGGCAAGGGTGTTGTCATCACAGTCCTAGATGATGGCTTGGAGTGGAATCACACTGACATCTATGCCAACTATGTAAGTTTGGGCATTAGAATGCTATGGAATAAATTAATCAATTGTAAATTTGATATACAGACACTCTTCTCCAGGTTGCTCTCAGTTCTGTAAGTTAGCTCCTACAGTACAGAGACTGAAATACTTGCCTTAGCCGTAATTTGGAACCTGGTCTGTGTCACAGGAAGCTGAATGTTACTTAGTGATGATAGCAGGGCTGGGGTTTTTTTCCCTCATTGGATTTAGTTCCTAGGCGTGTTTGTATACAGTGGTTTAATGCTGAATTATTAAAGCTCCATGAAAAATTTATGGAATTGTTAATGCCCATCAAATTGTACCAGCTTGATTGCTGTCAACATGAAGCACAGCAAATAAGTAAATACAGACTCTAGAACCCATTTTGTTACACATTTTAAAATGCATTTTATAGTTGTCTGAATTAATTCTGTTTTTTTTTTTTTAACATGTAGGATCCAAAGGCAAGTTATGATTTCAATGACAATGACCACGATCCGTTTCCTAGATATGACCCAACAAATGAAAACAAGTGAGTAGCCTCCCAGTTGTGCAAAGAGAACAAAACAGTAGATTATTAATTTTTGTGTTAGAACATGCAAATGCAGAAGTATGTATGTATGTCCCCTATGACAATTATATAATAAAAGGAAACATGCATATAACAGAATCACAGAGTGTTTGAGGTCAGAGGGGAGCCCTGAAGGCCATCTGGTCCGAGCCCTTGCTCAAGCAGGGAGAGCTAGAGCCGGTTGCCCAGGACTGTGTCCAGACGGCTTTTGAATATCTCCAAGGAGGGGGACTCCACAGCCTCCCTGGGCAGTCTGTGCCAGCGCTTGGTCGCCCTCACTGCAAAAAAGTTTTTGTGATGTTCAGAAAGAACCTCCTTCATTTCAGTTGCACAAGGATTTGCACACACCGTTGGCACAAACGCTGGAAACTAAGGAAATTAAACTCCCAGATGAATAGCTTTGTAATTGTAATCGCCCGATAATGTCCTGAATTTCTTCATATTTTATATATGTAAGGTACTGATACGTTTCTGTAAGCTGAAGGGAACAATCCCTGTCACCGTATGTGTTTCTAGAATGATACCTCCCAAAGCAGATTTTGACTTCAGGTCTCTGCTTTGCTCTGGGAATTTTAAAATAATATGTCTCCTATGAAGGGCTCTGGAAGAGACTGTTTCTACTACCAAGAAACCCTTCCCTTCAGGTCAGCTTTTGTAGCTAAGGACAATTTTCCAGTTCTGGCAGTATCTTTTGGACTGACAGAATAGCTTCTAGCTCAGTGCACGCGATCACAGGTGAAGCCATGCATCTGACCTCCTCTCATGTGGGTATGACACACGGTCAGACACTGGAGCAGGTTACATTCACTCTCGCAATAATCTTTTTGTCTCTTCTGAGGCATATAAAAGCTTTATTTAGACCAGATTTGGCCTAAATGTTCTCAGAGTAATAACCTAGGAAGTTTCAAAGGGCTTGAACACAAGACAACCAGCCAGTTCATTTGGTGGACTTATGTGTCTTGGAAGGAGAGAGGAATTTTATCTGATGCTCTCTCTAAAGCTATCTCTTTGATACTCTGTGGAACATCTCGATGAGTCTGTCACACCTAGGCATATCCATGGCAATTTAGGGAGGGATTTTGTCCGTCAGAAAGAGAAGAGAACGGACCTCCTTAAAAGCTGGTACACAGAAGAAGTCAATTTCTTAAACCCATTAGGATGCCACTACTCAATAAAGATAAGGTAAGAAACTGATGCACTGGTTCTCTATTGTCTATGAGACCATACAATAGCATCCACAACATAAATCAGTGTATGGGGAAAAAACGCCAGTCAGTCAAAGGGTAAATGTCCCATCAATAAGACATTTGAAAAATGACATTTCTGTTTTGTTACGGTGTTATTTAAGAGCAAGAAGCCATTATCCTCTTGTTCCAATGACATTATCTCTTAAATCTACCTGTATTACCTCTAATCTTTATTAATAAGTAAATGGAATTCAGCCCAGAAGCATTCAGACACTTCATTGAATAACAATCTGTAGTATTAAATAATACAACTCTTTTACAACTACACTTATGTGAAGGTTTTTTCTGTATTGTGGAATAAGAATCACCTATGGCAAAAAAGAATTGCATAAAAAATAGTTGGTTACAAGAAAAATTTAGCAATGGTGAAGATACTTTAAAGGCTAAATTTCTGAAATCCTAAATAAATGCAGTCATTAAAAAAAGAATATCTAAATGTATGATTTAAAAGACTTGTATTTCTGTCTGAAGAAGTTTAGCAGCTTCTTAGCCCCATAATTTTGTGCTACTTTTGCACTCTACTAAAATACTGGTATCTAATAGGTCTACAGACTTCACTGTGACTTAGATCACAATGACCCTTTGATCGTTAAATGGGTAAAATTATGCTCGTTGAAGCCTACAGTAACAAATATTTTTGTATCATGTAGATGCAACTCAAAAGCTACTTCAATAGTTGCATTGCATTAATTTAAAGGAGGACTTCCACCAAATCAAGAAGGTCATTGATGAGTCTTTGTGTGCATTACACAAAGATGTTATGAGATGTTGTTTATTCTTGCTATATTTATTCAGGCATGGGACAAGGTGTGCAGGAGAAATTGCCATGCAAGCCAACAACAGAAAATGTGGAGTTGGAGTAGCCTACAATTCCAAAGTTGGAGGTAAGAAAAAGAAAATAATTAGATGTCTAATATGAATGAAAACCAGACAGATCCTGTGAAGTGCTGAGTGTTTTCAGCTACCATTAATCTGAAATACAAATGATTGCTGCTTCTCAGAAAACAACAATCTTACACTATTAGGCTACAAAATCCTGTCTGGCCGTAGTGCAGAGTATTACATGTATATGACAGAATTTCTTGAATGTCAGCGTAGTCTCTGGAATTTGCTTATCAGTTGAAGATAGGTAGAATATGTAACAACAACAGCAACAATATAGGTGGTGATTGTGGTGGTGGTGGTGGTGATGATGATGATAATAATAATAATAATAATAATAATAATAGAAACAACCTAGGTTGTACCCAGAGATAAGACTGTGTTTTTTAAAGAATGATGGACTCACTTCTTGTAATTGGTTATCCTGGAAGGAGGTGGCATGGAGGAGGAGAGGGGTTGAGTAGAGTGAAAGTAAGAATATACAAATTTATACCCACTTGTGCTTGCAGCATATTCTTTCCATCTACACGGTTACATTCAAAAGGTCATGTCAGTCAAGATACTCAAACTGCTGTGGTTTTTGTTTCAACAGCTTACTTCTGTACTATCATCGTAAGTTAATTTTGAAAATAAGTAGAGTCTTGCTTGCCCGTCAATCAATATTGTCTTTTTTTTTTTTGAAGCGATGACTAAAAGCTTAATCCATTAGAGGTTTATAAAATAGTCATGATCAAAGTATCAGTTGCAAATGGTTATTTAGCTCAGAGGAAGATAGTTGTACGGTCCTAGTTTTTCCATTACTCCCTTTTTTCCTTTTAAACAAAGGGATGATGAGTGGCAATTGACACCCATAACTGCCATTCCCACCATTTCAGTCTTATGTTTGTAGGTTCCCATTTACTCTACTGAGCTGTCATAGATGTCAGCTTTGCAGTCTGCCTTTGCCGTAATGCATTATGCTGTCATGCTCTGTTTAAATAAAATATCTCACTCATAAGATGAAGATGCCAAATTTTCAAAGCAGGGCAAAATGGATGAAGCTGCAAAGATGTCTGAACTCCTGCTGTGCCCATATTTTAAGGCACTTGCATCTACAGAGAAGATTCTTCCACAGTTATTTGCATATGCTCTGTGTTCATTTGCAAATGCAAACTACAGACCTGTGCAGCGTGATTTGTCTAGAAAAGGAAAATAGCAGGAGGAAAAGCAGTCCAGCAATCCAAATTACCAGAAAGCTGCTTATACCTGGGCGAGGGAGAAGAACGAACAGAAAAGTTGAAAGAAATTGTAAGCTGTTACATATGACCAACGTGATGAAGAAAGAGATGTAACAAAAATATGTCCAAAGAGCAATGGAAGATAGGAGAAGTCTTCAAAAGATTCAGATGAATTCGGAGTGGCTAAACATTGGAAGACTTTTTTGGTGTTCCAAGCTATACAGGATTCATTTCTTCACAGACTTTTTTTCTTCTTCTTTTTTTTTTTTTTTAATCCATGAAATGATGCATTACACACTTCTATTTGCCATTAGTTCAGGATGACTTCTTTACCTGGCTGTTTGCTTGTAGCAATTGCCATGCTGGATAAATCCAGCTTTAGGGAAGGAAACCCTGACATTTGGAATACCTTGTTCTCTAACCTTCAGTGTCAGAGGTTGGTTTAACTTTGCCTCGAGGTGTAAAACAAAACATTCCATTCAAAATCTTTTGTTTTCTGTGAAAATACTCACTTTAATAATCCTGAGTGTTCTCACTAGTCACATCAACGCCTGGCCCTATTCTGAAACCTTATTAGTCTCTTCATTACTCTGCGGCTGTGAATCCCACAGGCTTTTCTGTGCACTGCGCGAAAAAAAAAAATACTTCTTAATGCCAGTTGCCAAAGTGACACCTTTCAGTGTCCTTTAACATTCACCTCATGTTCTCTATGGAGCTAAGAAATGTGTGTGTATCGATCACCTTTGGAGTAAGGCGTGATGAATATATATTCACACATACCTAACCATAGCACTGTGCTATGATATTTCTCTGGTGCTGCCATGGAAATCAAATGATGAAGAAGCTCCGTTTTACAAAGGACCGGGCTGAGAGTTCTCGCACAGTGGTGTGTTGCTAAAAATAACCTTTTGCCAGGCAGATACATGTATGTGTCTGAAATTACCTTGGGCTTTGCCCTTTGATTTTGTGGGACTGATGATGGCAGCAAGCATGTGCAAGAATAGGAAAGAGTTTATGCAAGAGGACATAATTGGAGCCTGCTTAGGGAAATACCACTGCAGTCATCAAATCCCTGAGTTGACTTAAACAAGCAGGATTTTTGGAGATTGCAAAGACAAGACAGTGGCTTTGGTTTTTTTTCTTCAACTGTTTTCATCAGTGCGTTGTCAGTGTTCTTGTTTTCTTCCTTACTACGTTATAATAATGCAGAGGTGGCTTTGTCTTCTGTGGGAAATATCTGTACACTACTCTCTGCATTCCCAGTATCTCATTATGTGTTGCAAGCTCACACCCAGAGCCTGCAGTCATTTCCACACAGGCAGATCTTTGCTCACAGCCTGCTGGTATGAGAGAATCTCACAATTCTGAGCCAACTGAAAAATGAGTATTCAAAATGTTATGAGTTTAAGCCTATCCAGGGTAAGTGGTGTTTTTAGTACCTGAGGCACAGGATATACCTTGATTCTTTTCCCAGATTTGTGAGTGATAGTGCAGTGGCAGTGGTTGAGCGGATTAATGCCTTTGTCTGGTTTTGCCACTAATTAATATGAAATAATAAAGCCCAGAGGTATTTATCTCAGAGGTATTACGAGTGTTACAGGCCAGCCATTTGGGAAAAGAATTATACTTGCAGGTTTTATTTTTTTTCCTGCTTAATAGTATAAAAAAAGAACAAGACACTGAGTTGCAAGGGCAAGGTTGGGGTTTGGTTTTTTTTTTGGCTTTTTTTTTTTTTTTTTGTTAATAGAATGACCACAGTTTGCTTACTGTGCTTTGGAAAAATCCCCATTTTGTGGAAAATACTAGAAAATGAGTACTCATAATTCACCAACTGCCAGTAATGGTGCAGCTGCTATAGTACTAACTTGCCAAGTTCAAGACAACCCAGACATTTTTATTGCTTGAAAACACAGGCTGAATCCTGACTGCTGTGGCTCTTATATCGCTGCTGTTGCTGGGAGAGCCATGCCGTAGTGGGAATTTTGCCAGACTTGTGCTATTTCCATCCTCCTCCAGCACTGGACAGTGGTAGCAGTCCTACTGCAGAGCTCGGGATTTGCAGAGCGAGAGATCTGGTGCAGATGAACCGCTGTCTGCCACTGAATTTTAAGTACCACTGAGATCAGGCTTGCTCTGAAGAACATTAGATCATGCAGTTCCTAATAAAATGTTAATGGCTAGATATCTCTAGCATCTCTGGATTGTTCACAGTAGAAAAAAACGTGGCAGTAAACCAACAGAATTTTGTGTGGTAAAGGTTGAAGAGCTAGTGAAGTAGAGTCACAAAGACAGCAAAATCTTATTGACTGTGAGGGCCAAGTGTTTTAGTCAGAACATACAGAACTACATCTTTGAACTAAAACGCTTAGAACTCTTAAAGATAAGAGTAATGTTGATAAAACCTATTTAATTTTAGTGACATAGTAGCAGTTTGAGAAGTCATTGTCACAGATTTAACAGAGGAAGAAGGAGTCAAGGAAGAGCTCGATGCAGTGAGGAAAAGCAGAAACAGTAAGCAAAACATCATCTTCTTGGCTTTCTGTAGAAAGAAAGAAGTAAATAAGAGGCAACCAAGATTTCAAGAGGGGTTTTTTTTTAGTGTTTGTAGAGAGCATTAAGCTCTGCAAATAGAGGGTAAGTGTGCTGTTTCACACTGACATGAACTGTCCTCAGTTACATGAACAGCAGCAGGCTGTGGTTGCAATACTTATGGATTGATTTTGCTGGAAACAAACAGTTACAAACAATTAACAAAGAGGAGTGAACAGAAAGTAAATCCAGTCTGTTTGCTTTGTTTTTTTTCTGTTAAGGTATACGTATGCTGGATGGAATAGTCACCGATGCTATTGAAGCCAGTTCAATCGGTTTCAATCCAGAACATGTGGATATTTACAGTGCAAGCTGGGGCCCTAATGATGATGGTAAAACTGTGGAGGGACCCGGGAGACTGGCACAGAAGGCTTTTGAATATGGGATAAAACAGGTACAATACTTAAGAGAAAGATGCAATAACGTGTGGCGGAGAACAGAATTTTAAAATGGTTGATATCAGGGAATAAATGAAAATGGTTTGTGCTCTCTTTGCTCAAACATATTTGAAAAGAAGGAGATGGACTTTAATAGTACTGGTCAGAGAAATTACCAGCCAGAACAGGACTTTTAAAAAAGCCCCATTAGAGGTTTCTAAGCTGGTTTTAAGCTGCCGTTCTCCACAGATAAGCTTTCTTTTTTCCGTCCTTACTTTTGCTGCCTTTGTCTCGCCCTACCCCCACCCTTCTCTGCTGCTTGTTTTGCACTGAACAGTAATTGGATTTCTGCACTGAAAGCCTATAAAATTTAATACAAAATTTCTGCTTTGTGAATATTTTTCCGTGTGAAGTAGTAATACATTTTAGCACCCCTGGATGGGCTTGTATTATGTTAATTGCATTAGTTTATAAATAGGTGTGTATCATGATCCAATTAAAATGAAGATAGTAAAAATGCATGATGAAGAGTATTGGAAACAATGTTTTTACAGTTCTTTTTTTGGATCTGTTTGGCAGATAAGTAGGATGCAGATGGAGTGCTACCAGGAACGTATTGATAAACTACTCTTGCTCTTGCCAGTGAGGTGAAAAGATAGCTAAAGATGGACAGGTACTAAGATAGTGAGCAAGACTGAGTCAGAGCCCAGAGAGGAGAGAAAAGCCTGAAGGACAGAAGCAAAGAGAAAGAGGATTTTGGAAAAAGGGCAGTTAACATTAGCAGACAGAGGGAGAGAAGAAGAAAGAAGAGTGTGACAGCTGACAAACATGCTGTGAGGGAGGAATGGAGACCAAGAGGAGTGGGCTGGTGATAAGCAGAGATCTAAGTCCATAGGCAGGCAGCAAGAGAAGAGGGAGAATTAAAGGCAATAATTAGGCAACCAATGTTGAGTGGTCTTACTCTGAAAAAGCAGGTCATTTGGTGAAGCATGTATATTTTTTTACAACTTGTTTTATTTCTTAAGGGGAGCAAATTTACCCATTAATTTGTCAGGCTTCTCTTTACAAGGATCTGGGTGGTCCTCATTCTGCTCAAACTCATCCAGAGCTGGGGTTGCCAATGACTCTCATCCCTGACGCCTTCATTGCTGGCCTGGTAAAGCACTTTAGTGGATGCTTAGCCTTAAGCATCTGAGAGGCGTAAGTGGCATTCTAAGTGAAATCAAAGCAAGTGCTTACGTATACCAGGGCTTTTCTGGACTGCAGCCTTTATTCTCAGAGGATGATACTATCTCATTTTCTGTAATTGACGTGGCTTGTCCTTCTCATTTTAGCAGTTGTATCGCAAAGAGTACAGCTTATTTCTCTTTATTTTTAATGTTTTAAGTGCTGCAAATGTCTTAGCACTTGCATGAATAACTTCACTTATCTGAGTGGGATGATAAAAAGTCTGTATTTCAGTTGCTGTTTCCAGTGAATGTACGTATGTTAATAATGAACAACATACAAACTTTTCCTCTTCACATGAAAGGGATTTTTTGACTCTGAAGGACCAGCACAGCATAAGGCTGGCTAAGGTGCGACGTGTTTTCCTCAACGATAGCTGTGATCGTTTACACGCTGTCAGCTGTCAGCATCAGTTGCTATCTGCTGCTCCCTCATTGCACACTGGAGACCAGAGCAGGGAGTGAATGTGATTATGTCTGGAGATGGTGGTGCTGGCCCACAGATCTGTAAGGGGAGGGAGGGTTTTCAGTCGTGTGTGCTTGCTGGTTCACTGTGTTTCAGCAAGTGGATGCTAACCGTGAAATGCTTCCTTACAAAATAGATAAATTGGTGGAGAAGTCATATTGTGTACATCGTTCATACTGGTTACTCGTACCTCTGTGATTACAGGAAAGGCAAGGGAAATAAACCCTGGTAAAACTGCATTTCTTAAAAAAAACCCCAAAACACAAAAATCCCCACATCAGCATGTAGGAAACATCAGTCTGTGAGCGTGGACTCTGTTTTTAACTTAAGAACCTTTTCTGAGGAAAGCTGCTGTACCTGGAACACTAAGCCTAGTGTTGACTAGACCAGCCAAACTCAGAGATTACTGCTGGGTGTGAAGTCGGATGCCCAAGGAGCTGGTTTCTTCTGTCTCTGTCCTCTACAGTGCTTATGGAACATTGTCCTTTTCTACCTGAAAATGTTTGGTATATTAGGCTTTTTTTTGGGGGGAGGAGTTGTTAAGAATATATCGCAGAGACGGAAATCTCTTTGATAACCACTCTTTTCCATTTTCTCTAGGGCCGAAATGGGAAAGGCTCCATTTTTGTATGGGCTTCCGGGAACGGAGGCCGTCAGGGTGACAACTGCGACTGTGATGGTTACACTGATAGTATTTACACTATCTCCATTAGCAGTGCTTCTCAGCAAGGCCTTTCTCCCTGGTATGCAGAGAAGTGCTCTTCAACTCTGGCCACAGCATACAGCAGTGGGGATTATACTGACCAAAGAATTGTAGGTTGTTTTTACCAGATTCAGAATAAACATAGAAATGTATTATATATGCAAATAACAAGTGAGAGCTCTTAACTACTTGGTTTCAAGTGCCTGTTTTATGTTATGTGTTACATGCTTTGTGGTTTTGCCTTGAAACACTGAGGGATTTGTAATCCAAAAAGTGATTGTATTCCTGGAACATCTTCTGCTGTAAAGCAATGGCTAAACAAAATCATTGTGTCAATGCAGTTAAATTAGCGTGCTGAATTTGTCTGCTGTTTGTGTATGACAGAGGTCTCTGCATGAAGTTTGGTACGGTCCCATCTTTCAGAAGGGGCAGATGAAGAGAGATGTAGAGTAAAAGGAAAAAGAACCTGTGAAGTTACTGTACCATATGAGTCAGTACCTCTTATATACCTTGCTATTAGCTTTTGTAAGATTGTCAGCCCCCGAGTTCCCACTTACAACAGCAACAATGGTGCTTCCAAACCTGTGAAAGGTACTCCGCAAGCAGACAGAGCAGTCTGTGTGCCTTTATTAAATGTGCAAGAAATGACTTGTACTGGAGAAAATTGCTGTGATAAAATAATGTTGAAGTACTGGTAATTTCTGTTCAGCCCTGGTGGATGCTAATTTTACAATAACTTACATTGATGGGGATTAAAACAATGTCATTCCAAGTTAGCCAGGAGATCAGTCCTTCCTAAGTGGCTTCTCTTCATAGCCAAGTTGTAGGTACATGGGCAGATGAGTTTGGTATTTAATTTCCACATAAAGCACGTGTTTCATTGCAAATTATAGTTCTTCTGCTGAAGAGGGAGCAGAACACCAATACTAATCCTATGAGTAATTTTCTAGCAAGCAGTAATTTTAGATGTTCTAGGCCCAACACAATGATCTGTTTTTATGATTCACCAGTAAGCCTGAAACACTTATTGTGAAACCTTAGAATAAAATAAGATATTCAGTGTGGGAGTATTTTGTTCCAACACAAAGCGTTTTGATACAAAAATTATAGTTGAAGTAAAAAGAATGGATTGAAATACGAACGGATTTAAACATTCATCACTTTTTCTGCTGGTGAGGAATGTATTAATACGCACCAAGCAAAGTATACAGGGTTATGTTTGTGAGTGTGGATATGACTGTATTTACAACTGTTTATTCATGCAATCTGTTTTTTTTGTTTTTTCTCTGTCAGACAAGCGCTGATCTTCACAATGAATGTACAGAGACTCACACTGGGACCTCTGCATCTGCACCACTGGCAGCAGGAATTTTTGCTCTAGCGCTGGAAGCAAAGTAAGTTGTCACACAATTACCTTTGAAACTCCTTTCTCTCAGCCACCCCGACATCTTCCCTGAAATGTTGTCTGTTTGAAGGTGGCACCATCTGATGCTGCAGCTCTACTTTTTGTCAGTCAGGCTTGCTCAGCCTAGTGACAAAAATAACCAGCTACTTGCCTCTACACCTTCTTAGCAAAGCAGAACCAATGTAAGTAAACCATGACGACCGAGAAATTGTAGTCCATTTCGTGCATTGGCAACAATTGTTTGCTGAGTTCTGGTCAATTGCACTTAAAAGCAGTGAGGCATGTATCAGGAGAAGATAATCTGAGGACAATAGGTTGCAGGAGTTTTAATTTAGTCTTTAGTCAATTTACAGAACCTTTTCTGCCAATGATGAGACATAAAATGGGAGATACCCAAGCCTGACGGTCAGAGCGGGCAGGGAGCAGGCAGGTTCAGATCCTGTAGCGCTTTTAGTCAGAAAGTATGACTTAGAGCTGGTAAGGAAGAACAGGACAGGACAGGACAATGGCTTTTTCACGGAAAATACTTCAGGCATTAGGGCATAGGTGTAGTACTTGAATGGTGTAGGTTCAGCTCCATTTTCTACTGCATGCTCCTTTGATGACAGAAGCCAAGATACTTGGGGCCATATTTTAAAGGGTAGAGTAGATCACCAATAGAATCAAATACCCAGTGAATTTTCGAAGTCCAGGTCCGGTAAGACTGGTAGGAAATACTGGTTTTGCTAGTTAATTTAATTTCCTGAATAATTTTGAAGGACTGGACTCTAATCTTGCTAGATACCCATTCTTCATTTACACAGAAATCTTGTCTACCTGGAGAAGTATTGTGAGGATAAGCATGCAACATGCTCTATATTTTAAAATAATGGGATGCCATATACATTCAAAGCATGTTCTGTTGCAGGCTAATAGTTGAGAGAAAAATGGTAGATAGCCCTGAAACAATTAACCAGGAACATTTTCTCAACAGCCCAAATCTAACATGGAGGGATATGCAGCACTTGGTAGTGTGGACCTCAGAATACGATCCACTGGCTGGAAATCCAGGATGGAAGAAGAATGGAGCAGGACTGATGGTCAACAGCCGATTTGGGTTTGGACTGCTCAATGCCAACGCATTGGTAGATTTAGCTGATCCCAAAAGGTGGAAAGGTGTACCGGAAAAGAGAGAGTGTATTGTCAAAGACAAAAGTTTTGAACCAAGGTAAGAATTTGCATTAGCAGTAACTTTTGTCTATCTTAGTGAAGCCTGAAGGATAGTAATCTGCACAGGTTGCTCTGAACCAGACTCAGATTTCTTTTGATTCATTTGGTTTTGCCTTACTGTATTCCTCAGGGGCAGGCAAGCAGCGTTGGTTTGCTTGCTTTTTTTAATGTAAGACTGATAGAAATCACTACCATAAAGCCTTAAAAAAAGATTAAGAATATTATGTCTGTGCAGCCAGCGTACGGATGGATGATCCTGTGAGACTGAGCCTGATCAGATAAGATATGAATGTTTAGACTGCTATCAGAAGATGAATAAAAAGATACCAAAGCCTCCCAGGGATTTTTTTAAAAAAAAAACATCTATAATCGGTCTTGGCAATTCTTCTCCTGTGACAGGCATAGTATATGTAGAAATCAAGGTGATGTATGGAGCTTTAGTCACATCCATAGCGTGTCTCTTACGAAACGCAGGTGTCTCAAAGGCTCACTGAAAAGCAGCCACATTCACAAGTACTCCCAGCACAGTGAGCCTAAACTGAGCTCAACATACAGGTAAGTTATAATTAGTCACTCTGCTGGTTAATCAGTAAGGATATCTTGACTGTTTTTGTCTCCACTTGTTCACTTATGGATTTGTTGTCTCGAAAAAACACAGCTATTTCAATGATTGACATTATACTGTGTGAGTGCATGAAAAATCTGTCTGTAGAAACATATTACAATGTTTTGGAGTGTCACTGCCTGGTAACGTTATTATTTATGCTATTTTACTATCAATTTGCTTTTATGAGCTCTCTACTTTCCACAGAGTGTTGATCCAGCACTGATGTATGTAATACTTGCTGTTTATGTATTTTTATTGCAGTCCTCTAGGTTACATTATAAAAACAAAGATACCACAATTCTGAGTTTAGAATTATTTATGTGGATATTTAGATACCCTGTTCTCATTAGAAGTAATGGAAATTGTGCAGAGAAAGCTGTGCACACTAGCTCTGTACAGAGAACGTACAGAAGATGTTAGCTTTTTTTCCTTGAGATGGCATTGACTACAAAGGGTTAAAACGGCTGTGGCTGCTGCAATATCTTAACTCCATGATAACAGCTCTTCTGGATATTTGGACAAGGCAACTGTCTCAAGTCTGATACAGTCGTGTGATGTAGCTGCCTGCAAAGACTGTTTTTTTTTGTAGTCTCTGTTGGACACAAAAGTGTTGACAGAAACCCTTGACTATCAATCTTGCTTGCTTCCAGGGTGTGTTGCACAAGTCTTGTCTTATGCAGTGCCTATCACTTGTTCCACTTTAGTGCTATCTGTGCTTCCAGAACTTCCCATGGTTTGTACTGGAGCGTTCAAAAAAATATTGTAAAATTTGTCTTTACTTCTTCCTTTCTCATCATTCTGAAATAGGTGTTAAATGTCTCATTTGCACTTTGCATAATGATCCAGAATCAAAAGTTTCTGTGAGTAATCAAAGAACTTCTTTATTTTTGCCAGATTATTAAGAGCAAATGAGGAAGTCATCATTGAAATTCCTACAAAAGCCTGTGAGGGTCAAGAAAATTCCATTGCATCTCTAGAGCACGTGCAGCTTGAGGCAACAATTGAGTATTCCCGTAGAGGTGATCTTCATGTCACTCTGGTATCGCCATCAGGTACGGGAGGCAAAGACGCGTTTTGTTTGTGTTGCTGTAGTGTGTAACATTTATTTCATTAAAAACCACCTTTGTGTTCTTCAGTGGCTTAAAAAGAGCTAAATGTATCATTAGATAAATCTAGTCACCCCCAACAGGTGAGCATGAGGACGAAGCATCCTGGGAACTAGAGAACGGGTTCTCCGAAACCCCTTTCCAGCCTTCATGTGTTCCGGGTTATTTTTGGGAGAACAGGTTCGATAATCATGCTTCAGAAAATGAAGGCACCATTTCTAATGTGTTTTCCTTCTGGCAACAGGACCTTTAAAAACTCAGTTTCTGGCAGTCAACAAGTTATAGTTCAATCGTGCTTATCAGCCTTACTGTGATTTCACAAGCTAATGGAAAGCAGGGTATCTGACTCCCTAGATTTCTAGATTTTGTGTCACTGTGTCTTCCCATTGGTGTATTTAAAACCACAGTGTATCTGGTAGGCACTTAGTACTAAATGCACTAAATGTGGTAGAACATGGCAAGCTACCTTGGCAATGCCCTGAAATAACACCATAAGGAGGAAAAAAAAAAAAAAAAAGGAGAATGAGTATAAACAACTTTGTAGAGAGTCAGATCTGTTAGATCAACTTATATTATTAGAAGAAAGAGACAAGCTTTCAGGTATGAATTTAAACATCAGGCTGATCTAATTTACTGACATAAAAGGCTAATCTAGTAATACATAGATAATAAACCAGTAGAGCCTTGTTCATATTATTGCAGGGCATCACTAGAGAGCAGGGTTAAGATACTGTACATACAGTATGTTTCCAAACCCTACCTGTCTGCGATTCCTTTTAAGCCTAACCTTAATTATTCCTTTTCTGAGTTTACTTTTTGTCCTATGGGATTAATGTTGCTGTGAGGTGTTTTACCCTTGACTCTTGGTGGTATTTTCAAATTTAATTCCATCTTAGATAAGTTTTAGTTTGGGAATAAATATATGTACTGTCTGTAGGTATATCATGGAGATGACAGCAACAGTAGCTCTCATTCTACCTTTATGGAGGTATTTCCCTCCAAGACATTGTTCTACTGCTAATCTGTAGGAACCATGGCTTCATCTTAGAAAAACACCCCTTTTTGCAAGACTGACGACAGTAATATGTTCGTCATCCTTGTACGCATTACTGTGGGTTTAGCTGAGGTAGCAATAGTCAAATGCTGCTGCCTCCACTGTAGTGTTATGTTGCCTTCATGGTTAAACTGTTCTTTCCCTTGGTTCTTGCTGTTTTTCCACTTTCCTGCAAAACAGTACCAGCAAATGTATGTCATTCCTTTTTTATATTTATGGTGTTACTTTTAAATATATTTATAGCTTCTGTTCAGGCTCCCTGGGGCTTCTCTGCTCCTTCTTATGCAAATATAGCTCACTTGCTCTCTCCTTGTATGCAAACAAGCACAACAAATTTCCTACTGTGCAGTAGAATCTCTTGTGCTGCAGAAATATCTTGTGAACTGCAACATTTTTGTAATAAAAAATAACAATGCAAATATTTTTCACCCTGTTGGAGTTCCAGGCTGTAACAATTTACATCCACTCACAAAAAAAAAAAAAAAAAAAAAAAGATACAGGGGTGAATTCAGGATAAGGCTTTGGTTTCACAATACTGCGGGAGCTGGTTTGCCTTCCAGACTTCCATCTCAGAAGTTTTCTGTTCATCAGTGGAAAATACTGTTTGTGTCTGACCTCTGTTTCTTTTGCTTCTCTGTGTATATCCACTACTTTTTTCGTGTTAGAGATTAAACACTAAGCAAGATGTACTTTTTTAATGTGACCTATTTATGCTAGCTTTTATGCTCTTAAATACTGCTGTGAAAATAATCATAGAATGAATCATAGAATGGTGTGGGCTGCAAAGGACCTTAAAGATCACCTAATTTCGACTGGAACCACTGATCAGAAATAGCATGTTTCCCGTTCCACAAACTGCTGTTAAATAGTGTATTTTCCAGTTTACCTATGCACTCGATACTGTGCAAGCTGAGGAATGTGAAAAGTAAAAGTGGACGTGTATGACGAGTCACTACTGTTGGTCTTGCACTAACACAGGGACCAGCACTGTCTTACTGGCTGAAAGAGAGAGAGATAAATCTCCCAATGGCTTTAAGAACTGGGACTTCATGTCTGTTCACACATGGGGAGAGAATCCAACAGGCACCTGGGTTTTAAGGATTACTGATCTGGTAAGTATGTTTGCATGTTAACTTGCTATGTTTGGAAGGTAACACAGATAAAATGATCACTAACCACTACCAAGTATGTTGAACAGTGAGTCTTCTCATTAAGCAAGCTACAGCTAGAGTTTATTTACGCTAAGTACCCATCCAAAGATTAAAGAAAAAAGATAGAGTCAGATTTTCTTGTTCTTTACACAAATGCAAAGCACCATCCTCATTTTGCTGACATGTATCTGTCAAAAAAATTTCATGCCTGTGTTTTTCACACATTATATGTCACTGAAAGAAATCACTTAATATAATTTTCTGTAATTCACAGAGTGAAATATGTAATCAAATTAACACATGGTTAACTGCAAATTAGGTTGTTCTGCAGAAAAGAGCACAGGATAGATCTAGTCTTCTCTTGGTGCATGTGCATAATTTTCATTAACCCAGAACCTTTTGAATTAATTGAATTTCTGGTGACCTCAGAGAGCTATTCTGATGTATACCTTTCCCTAACTTCTTTCTTAGAGTAATTACTGCTGAACAACATTTAAGGATTAAAGCCAAGAAATCTACAGATATGAAATAAATAAATGTACTAAAACCACCTGGGGATATGGATTACAACAGCGAGACACCAGAATAAAGCTGCTTGATAGGCAACTGAGAAATCATTCTCTTCCACGAGAGAGTGATCATATGCAGTCATCTCTGGAGAATTTCATTGAAATTGTCTGTTAATAACCTTGTCATTGGGGGTCAGACCCTGCCAGAAACCGAAGGCTTCCTATCAGACACTGAGCCTCCAACCCCTATTGGCCTCAAATTGTAAACAGGAGGATAATACTAAGTACTAAGCAGATGGACAGAGCAGTAGAAGTAAATATTATTATCAACAGCCTAGTGTTTAATACTGTGGGCTTGTAGATAACCCCATGGTTACAGATATCCTGCTCTTTGTAATTAACATAATGTGGTTTTTGGAACGAAGTTAAGAAGAGCATTTTGTTGGCAATTATCTCTTGTTTTCCATTTTCAAGTGAGAGGTTCCTCAAACTTAGAATAAACCAAAGTTTTTGTCCTCAAGAGGTAATGGACTCTT